TTTCTGAAATAGTGGATAGTGGATTCGTTTTCTGGAAGTTGATAGTTCATAAAAAATGTAGTGTTTTATAATTTAAAGAACCCTTTTTCTATCATAATTTTTTATACAATAAACCAGTCCAGAGCACTGGCATAAATGACACTCAGATGAAGTGCTTTAAGACCCCTAAGAAAATGAGTTACAACGCAGTTTGCATCCGATACCAAAAATAAGTTTTTACTGTTTATACTTTGCATTTTAGTTAATGATTTCCTGTCTGTGCAAGAAGTGCAGACACCTCAATGTTGGCCACAGACAGTGCTCCCACCTTGTACAGCATGACTACCATTGCCAGGTTAGTGATGATACATCGAATCCTGTTTAAGGTATCTGACATAATTAGGCTTACATAAATTAGGCTATAAAGGCTAAAAATGTATTATTGTCCTTCTAGATTCCATTTTCCTTGTGAAAGCGTTTAGACTTAGCTTGTGGCCTGACTGTCTTCAGGGCCTCTGATGCTCCATTTCAGTAAACAGAAACTCAAAATTTGGACTGTAAGTATTTTTAATGAGTATTGCTCAAGGAAGACAAAATTTGACTGTGTAAAAAGAGATTCAATATGCCACAACATGAAGAAAAGCAAAAATGTTATATTATATTTGTATTATATATTATATATTTGTGTGTGTGTCACGTTAGGCTGCAGGGAAGCGTACGACACAAAAGATTTGGTGAAATAAACTGAATATAATACTACAGAATTGGAGAATACTCACAACACAGCCATTAAACATTTACCAGACCGGATAAAGAACTAAGGAAAACTTATATGAAGCAGGGTTAGCGAGTAGCACAGAAACAGGCGTGGGAACTAATTAACAGCCAGGGAACGCAGGGAAATGGGAAACGATCAAACAGAGTGAAAACGAAACTAAAACAGGACATAACTGAGGTTACAGTGTGTGTACTATAAAACATCTACACATACGTGTTAAATTGTAACGTTTTGAAACTTAATCCAAGATAAATCCGATCTCTTTCCACCTTTAATGCGATATTTAAACCAACAAAATTCAAGTAGCCTATATACACTTCTAGGAGGCATAGGACCACATCACAGTTCATCTGCGGGTTTTATATGCAGAGTTAAATAGACGTCAGTCATCGAACAGCAGCCACCTTTTACAGTTCCTCCTGAAACAAATACAGCCCGTGCCGCATTCACACCAAAACTTCTGTCATTTGGAAGAAATGGAAACCCATGACATAATACTCTAAGCGGTTCGTGACTCGAATTTACATTCATTTGTTTTGGATGAGGCGTGATTGCGTGAACCCAAACCAGTAAGGCTAGTATCTTATGCTTTCAAAGATTGCTATTGCTAGCCTCTCCGAAAATGACCTACCATTTAAAGGTTCTTTGGGGAAATCATTGTGAAAACCCCATTTTGGAACCTTATTTTTAAAAGGAAAGTGTTAATCACTAATGTGTTAAATTATGTGTAAAATATGAAATCAAACAAACAGATGTGCTGAAATGTGTTTCCATGGGTTGTTTAAGAGAAAAATACCTCATAAAACCAGTGTCCAAACAAAGTGTTGTTCCTTCATACTCGTTTTCTAGGGCATCTGAACCAGGAAAAGAAGAACTTGGCCAAGACACTCCAGGAGTTGAGACCTGCTGTGTCCTCAAACACATGAGGTGGGCCGCAGTGCCAACTCCCCTCCAGTGAACGTGACGTTTCACCAAGTACATGTTCCTGGATCAACATTCCAATCAACCAATTAGATTTGAGGGACAAGTTTACAGTTTATGTTAAGTTTAGGCTTATTAGGTGTTTCTACATCAGTGTTTCTCACTTATCATTTCCTATTGGGTTAGGGTTAGGACTCAATTTTCCAGACAAGAATGTTAGCAACAAAATATGCTGATTCAGGAAAATTTCTTACTTGGCAAAAAGTCCACAGTGAGTGCCAACTCCTCAGCACCAGAAGAGCTGCCTGCCCTGTCCTGGTCCATCTGCCTCTCAGTGCAGCTCGGCTCTAGAGAGGATCCCTCACCTGTAATCCTCTGAAGAAGAGAGAATACTCTGAAGAAACACAAAGACACTTGCAAAAATGGTAAAATAATTAGTGGTCTTTTAATGGCCTTAACCATTTTAACTAGAAACTAGAAAAAGTTTGTCGAGCCAAACTTAAAGTTGGCTTGTGAAAGTTTGGACCAGAAAGCTAGGAAGTTTGAAAAGTTTTCAAAAATTTAAAGTTTTTTTTTAAAAAAAAGAAAGATTAGTTAGAAATAAAGAAAGATTAGTTAGAAAGAAAGAATAGTTAGAAATATTAGTTAGAAAGAAAGATTAGTTAAGAAAAGTTAAAAAGAAAAGTTAAAAGAAAGATTAGTTAGAAAGAAAGAAATCTTAAGTTAAAAGAAAGATAGAATAGCTAGAAAGAAAGATGATAGATAGATAGATAGATAGATAGATAGATAGATAGATAGATAGATAGATAGATAGATAGATAGATAGATAGATAGATAGATAGATAGATAGATAGATAGATAGATAGATAGATTTTATCAACAGATATGTGTCTGTAGTTTGTACTACAGATAGATAGATAGATTAGATAGATAGATAGATAGATAGATAGATAGATAGATAGATAGATAGATAGATAGATAGATAGATAGATAGATAGATAGATAGATAGATAGATAGATAGATAGATAGATAGATAGATAGATAGATAGATTTTATGAACAGATATGTGTCTGTAGTTTGTAGTTTCGACTGAGCTGCAAGTTTAGTGATATGAATTTAAATAACTTCACCTAAACAAGAGGATATGGAGAGATAACATCATGTTAAGTTAAAGGAACAGAAACTTATTTTGTGCAAGAGGAAGTTTCAACATTCATCTCATTTGGGCACATACTCTGTGGTGTAGTTCCCGTGGCGAAAAACACCCGTTTAATGATTTACAGTTTGATGGAAAACAAAATAGGGTCGGTTTCACAGTCTCTGATCACCAATTTGAATGTACTTTGTAAATGGTAGATTGTATCTTTTAGTAAGGATGAAACTAAATCTTTAAAATCTCAGAGTGGGATAAAGTATTTCTGCTCACATATCAGCAGTAATGGGGAGACACACCTAATGCTACAGACATTACATCAGAACGACCGGCTCTTGCAAAACCACAGACAGAGTCATACTGTAGTTATTCTTTAGTGAGTCTAAAATACTTACTGGTTTTCAGTAAATGATTCAGCAAAAATGTTTTAAAACGATTAAGTAATTTAATGAACTGTAGAGAGTGTGCACCAAAAATGAAATTTCTGTTATTTTTTATTCCAAACCTGTATGATTTTCTTTCTTCTGTCAAACAAAAAAACAGATGTTAGACAGGATGCTCACCCAGCTTTTCTTCATTCAATGAAAGTCAATGGTGATCAGAATTCCTGTAGAGAACAGATTATTTTTTTTGCTTTGCAACTTTCCCTATCTCCAACAAGACATTTCCAAAGATAAACTTCAGATACTGGATTAATCTGTGCGGCCAAGAAAATTATCTCCACCAAAAGCCAGAAATATATCTGAACAAGTGCATTTCATATCAGATTAATGTTGTGATTATTAATTAATATTTTTTGGAACATAGATGAAATATACATTAAATCTAATATGGTTTTCATCGAGTTGCATTTGGATGAATGAAAACAAGCAGGATGTAATCCTCCAAACCACAACTTAAAAACATCCCCTGTTTAGGGAAATACATCTAACAAATCATAGTGAGCATTTCAGAAACATGCTGCAGGCGTCGCTAGCCTGCCTCTATTCAAGTCCAGGGGCCCGGGGCATGCTGAGGGCATCTCCGGATCACTGACCCTTCATGCTAATGGACATCATTCAGACAGTCTCTCATGAATCACACTGCAATTCACTGAATCATCAAGGTAAGTTCAAAGCAGTGAGGGATTCAAATGAGAATTGAGGAACTCCCACAAACCATTGCATAAAGATAAACAATTTACTTGTAATTTGTGATATTTTGATGTCCTGTTTCATTAGGCAGGGCCAAAGTTTCACTCTGGTTTTTTAATTGATGCGACCAATATGTCGGCTAACAGGCAAACGCGAGTCGGCCAACTCGTTGAGATGTATTATTTTCTGATAAATTAATTCAAAAGCAGTTTATCAGGTTTTCATCAGGCAAAAATCAGAAAGCACAAGATTTTGTATCAGGTTATTATGTTAACTGTAACGGTAGAAGACGAGTATATTGTAAAATTTAAATTAAGTTAATAAAGTTAAACTTAAGTTGAAGCTCTGAAATAACTAACTGGAAATAAATGAATAAAAATGACAAAAATAAAAACATTAAACAAATTAAAACATAGCCTACTGTAAAAATAAAAGCTAAAATATTAATAAAAAATATATAAAAGTGGGCAAATGTAACAGGTACAGATTTAGGCTAATATAAGACTGGTAACAGCACTGGTGTGACAACTGCGTTCCACCTGAAAATGACAATTCAGAAGTCAATATCACTTCATGATTTAGACAAAACTGTATTAATTTTTTTAGCAACCGAGCCAGTTACCAATATAAAATATTATTGATTTATTGTTGTGGTGAATTTTGAAAGAGGAGACTCTGAATCAAAGCAAGTTGAAAGGCCGGCCCTGACCCCGACTCAGTCGGCCTATGAATCGGGCACACAGCAGACTGCTAGTATTGCGTTTTTTTCCTGTGTTTCCTCATTGCCACGACTGCCCTCCACGTTTACCAGCCAAACACCAGGAGGCCTGTGCTGAAACAGCAAGAACCATGAGGCACAACACTGTAAAAGATAAAAGCCAAGCAGCTGACTTCACACAAGCTGCTAAATCAACACCAGAACACGACCACGCTCTGCTCTGTGTGTAATATGAACATCAAACCATGCTGTAATAGGAGTCTTCTTTTCCCTTCTTAAAGTTTCATCAAGACAGGGAGGAAAAGTGAAGGCATAAATTGTTCAAAATTTTTCTGCTTTTAATGCAAACAATTCATCAGTGCATGTTTTTTACATATTAAATAGTTTTCACAATTTTTCATGAAAATGGAACAGCTTTCTCCGCCTCTGAAATTATCTTTATTTTTGCTGACATCATCAAATCCTTTTGGGACACTTTTAACACTTTATTCAGAATGGTTCAAATCTTTTCCAGTTCTCTGATTTTCTTGCTTTTCTTATGTTGTTTTACACAGAAATATGCCACATTAAAGAGGCAAAATGGATGCAAACACGGTTAGGCTTAAAACATTTTAAGAGCTCTTTAGAAACTTAATTCATTTTATTAAATTAAACACATGGGGAAACAATTTTAAAAGGAGGGTTGTCAACACTTCCTGATTTCTGTCATAGGCTACTTGTGACTAATGGATTGGTCCAGTTTAACAAGTCATTCAGTTAATATTCATCATTCATTCATACATTTTAGCATGAGCAAATTAGCAATTATTAATCCAAAAAGTAAACAAAATGGTTCATACATTAATCGAAATAAATATCGGAGAGTTCATTTTCTCCCTCGAATAGCCTGAATTCACAACAAAACATCACATGGATGTTTAAAAAGAACTGTCATGACACTGCCATCTAGTGGATGAAAGCTGCTAACATATACACTTAAGTTACAATCACAATATAATCTCTCTGTATATACAAATATATAAAAATACTTGTACAGCTAATAAAGTCATTTGTAAAGTTTAAAAAAAAAAACACAATTGGATGTTTTCTGACCTCTGTAATTAGGGACCGAGGTGATTAAACTATTGACCATCTCAGTGAGCAACTGACAGTCACTGCAAGAACATTCTCCTAATAGCAACTCACATATTCCTTACACTCAAAGGCACAATGGTGAATCTGTAATTGATATTGGCACAGAAAGATAGCTTAAAAATGAACAAAAAATTGTGTAGAGATAATATATATATATATATATATATATGTGTCATATGATGAGAACTATTACTTATACAATGATAGTGTCAAAAAAATTGCTTCAACCAGTGAGGAAGGCCGATGCATATTAGGTGAACTTAAGTCGTCCCTATTCCAACAAGAAGTGCTATCAAGAAGGCCAGGTTTCCCAACAAAAACACCATAAGCAGGACTATTTCAGGTTTCATCTAACAAAAATAAAACAAATATATTACTTTAAAACATGAAACATCACCTTTTATTTACAGTATGTAGTCTACTGAATGATCTATATGATGAGACTTAAAGTTGGACTTACCGATCCAAAGCTGCAAATTTCAGAATCTAAAATAAAATGACAAGGGTGAAATAAACCTTTAATGCATTGGATTGTTTACATTTTCAGATAATCATTTCCAAAAGCGTAATTCCTAGAAAAAGTGGAAATAATAATATACAAACATAAATATACACTACTGTTCAAAAGTTTGGGATCAGTAAGATTGAGTTGGGTTTTTTTTTTATTAAAAAAATTACTATTCAGTAAGGATACAATACATAAAAGTTATCAAAAGTGGCAGTAAAAATATTTATAAAGTTACAAAATTTCAAGATTTCTGTTGTCAAATAAATTCTGTTCTTTTGAACTTTCTATTCATCAAACAATTTCACTCTTTTTAACATTGCTAATAATAAGAAATGTTTCTTGAGGAGTAAATCATCATATTAGAATGATTTCTGAAGGATCATGTGACACTATAGACTGGAGTAATGAATGAAAATTCAGCTTTGCATCACAGGAATAAATTACATTTTAAAACTATACTAAAATAGAAAACAATTATTTAAAATTGTAATAATATTTCACAATATTTTAGTTTTTACTGTAATTTTGATCAAATAAATGCAATTTACCAACCCCAAACTTTTAAAAGGTAAAGTAGTGTATAAAATAAATAAATAAAAAGGGTGTTATGCTTCTTTCAAATTACAGCATTGGTACTTTCAAGTAACTTTCCCAGTGCGAATGCAGCATTACCTTTTTTCCTGGCGCGAAAGTTAAGATCTTGGAGAATGTATATCAGAGCCTCCCAGGTAATAAAACCTCCCATAACTTTCAACATCCATCCATCCGTCTTATATTCTTCAAACAGTTCCAGACCAGTGAAAATTGCAGCAACTGTCACAGAATAAAAACAGATATTGTTTTTCATCTGAGGAAATGGAAGATATTGATTAAGGTAATAAAGTTGTGGCCATACCTGCAAGGACTTTGATAGCTAAAGCAGTAAAGGAATGGGCCCAGTTGAAAATAAACCTCCTGCAAAGAAAACCATCAGATTAACAATAATGCGTGACTCATGCCTTTCCATGTCCTATATCTGCATTAGAGAAGAGAAGTCTCCCACCGCTCATGCTGCGGCTCACAGCGGAAAGCAGCGACTATGGGCTGAATCAGACTGAGGACCATCACTATACAGCCCAGGACAGGATGAGCTCCCTACACACACAGATCACAGTGTGTCAGAACAAAACACGGATATATCTATATATTTATATGGATATATCTCATATACTATAACTGTGTGGAAGTGTTTTCACAGCATGTTTTTACTGCCAATTATTCAAATTTAATGTCATTTCATTTACTGAAGTGTCTGTCATCATGTTGTGGTGTTCCTGTTTTTTAAGCAACTAGCCACAAAATCATACTGTATATATTCCACTATTCCTATAACAATTTGGCTCAGCAGCAAATCAGCATATTAGAATGATTTCTGAAGGATCATGTGACCCTGAAGACTGCTGAAAATTCAGCTTTGCACTACAGAAATAAATTACATTTGAAAATATATTAATATAGAAAATAGTTAATTTCACAATTTTTTACTATTTAAAAAAAAAATTAAACAAAACACAGTCTTGTTGAGCACAAGACACTTCTTTCAAAAACATTTAAAAAATTAACGTGTGTGTGTGTGTGTTATTCACCCCAGCCCAATCCTGCGCATACGAAAACACCAGTATAAATGCAATTGCTGTGGCGATGACGGACAGGATCATCAGAGACACGTGGGCCTGTGGAACAACAAATAAATCATATTTAGTTATTTTCAATCATTTGGTTATGTTTTTAACAGCATTACATAATGCAATGCAATCAAACCAGTTTTAGTACATTCAAAATGAAAATGTATTAAAATAGATGTTTTGAACGTACTTTAGCTACAGTAGATTTATTTTAGAGTGCTGATAGTGTCGAAGTTATCACCTCGCTCTATAGCCTATGGGATTTTTGAATGGGTTTTTGCTAAATCACCTGAAATAAGGTCTGTGGTGAACAAAGCCTCTAAATATTATCACGTTTTGATCTATGACATAAACACACCGGTTAAAACCTGCTTGTGGTTTTTTAAACTTTATTGTGTCTGCTTGTGTTGTTATTAAACTTTATATAAGCTTCAAAATGTATACATTTTGGATTAACTTGTAAAGATTTTCTTGATAGACAAAACATGTAAGGGTCACAACTCTTTGTTGAACACAGATCTTATTTTTTGCGATTTTCCAAAAGTCTATGGGGAAAACGCATAGCTTTTCGATCGAGGGAACCCATGCGCCGCTAGCTTCCGAGTTGTCCTATAAAGTGATGTCATCACTCCGGCACTCTATTGGGCTGAACGCAAGTTACTCGATATTATCTTTGCATTTATAGATCTGTTGTATAAAAGTTATATCGCTGTAAACCGTTAAGCGTTATATAATGCAATAAAAGATTGTTAAGTGATGTTCACACACCATAACTTGCTTCTTATCTTATCTTGCTTGCACTAACTGCACACATGCGTATTACTGCAAAGCATTTATCAAAGAATTTTTCCCACTGTCATGCTGATGAAACATATGTCAACATGACATGTAATTGACTTTACAAATGAAATGACGAGTTAGATAAAGGGGCCCGCATGGCTTTGTTTAGCTTCTTTTTTTTTTTTGGCATGTACAGGTATAGTCTAAACAAAAAACAATGAAAATCCAAAATCCATATTTTTACAAACCGGATCCAGTTGACATTAACGCTATTCAACTTTCTTTAGTAATGTTGCTGTTTGAGTATGAAAAAGGTCTGCACAAAGCACAAAGTCACCTATTCTCTACATCAGTCCACACTGATTCTGAACTCTCTGAAATGCCTCAATTGTAGTCTTGAGTTTTCTCCTGGGAATGTACAAGTCACACAAAACAAGGGCAAGACCTGGTCGAGTTTTAATAGTACCGTGTTGAAACTCACTGATATGATAAGGGGGATGACATTTCCGAAACATGCTAGATGTGGTTGCTCAATCAGAGAACATTGCTCCAACAATTTAAAATATGAAATTAAAACCTGTTCTAGTCAAAATCAAGACTTTGAAAAAGTGCATAAAAGGTCCCCTTTAAGCATAAATGCCCTTGCAAAATTCACGTCCGAAATTTTCGCACGTTAAAAAATAAATACGACCTCACGTTATATCAATGATGCTTGCACACTGCCTCCGAAACTTTCATTCGTCATAAAAAAAAAAAACTAATCGGGTTCAATTTTCGACGTTTTCCGCATCCGTGGCAAGCAGTTTGAATGGTGTTTTGACAATTCAGAGCCACCGAATCACAAATACGAAAAAACGCATACGAAAATTTCGGACTCAGTGAGCAATGGCCTTAAAGGAGTAGTTCAAATTAAAAAAAAAACTTTTGGTGATAATTTACTCACCCTCATGTCATCCAAGACATCCATGTCATTCTTTCTTCAGTCGAAAAGAAATTAAGGTTTTTGACGAAAACATTCCAGCATTTTTCTCCATATAATGGACTTCAATGGGAACCAAACAGTTCAAGGTCCAAATGAGAGTTTCAATACAGCTTCAAAGGGCTTTAAACGACACCAGACGACGAATAAGGGTCTTATCTAGGACCCTTCAAATCATGACTCGAAAAAAGATTTGTTCATTTTGATGAACGAGTTTGAACAGGAGAGTCACAGAACAGAGCAAGGCGAGCATTTGAGCTTATAAAACTTAAACTTTGTTATTTATTTCTTAAATGACAGATCGTTTCACTAGATAAGACCCTTATTCATTGTCTGGTATTGATTAAAGCCATTTGAAGCTGCACTGAAACTGTCTTTTGGACCTTGATTCGTTTGGTTCCCATTGAAGACCATTATATGGAGAAAATCCTGGAATGTTTTCATCAAAAACCTTTATTCGACTTTTCGACTAAAGAAAGAAAGACATGGACATCTTGGATGACATGGGGGTGAGTAAATTATCAGGAAAAGTGTTTTTTTTTTAAAGTGCAATGCCAAGGCCATGGGTTTGATTCCCAGGGAATGCGTGAGCTTAAAAAAATGTATAGCTTGAATGCAGTTGGATAAAAGCCAAATGTATTCGCCTAAATCCACATGCGATTTGAATTATGGGTAAAATGTGAACAAGAGAAGCAAAATTATTATTTTCTTTACACACTGACAGCTGTACTTCTCTGTTTTTTGCCTCTTGGCATTGTTGATGATTGTGTACAGTCAACCCGGTCTCATCCCAAGACGTCATATAACTGACGTTTTGGGACGTCTTTTGACCATACGTCAATATTCGCCTTTTTAGGGCCCCCTTAAACGTCGGTAGATGAGGTTATGGGATCCTAACTCTACCCCAGACCTAAACCTAACCCTAAACCTAACCCGTCACCTAACTGACGTTAAAGGTAAAGCGTCAGTTGTATGACGGCCCGGGATCGCCATCTACCGACGTTTAAGGGGGCCCTAAAAAGGCGGATATTGACGTATGGTCAAAATACGTCCCAAAACGTCAGTTATATGACTTTTTGGGATGAGACTGTGTTAGTACAGTAGGTGATTAATATGGCAACCAATGTAGAAGCAGATCAAACAGATAAAGACTCACCAGAAACCAGAAATCTTTCCCGCCTAAACATTGGCCCTTGGCAACTCCCTTTAAATAGCGTGCTATCATCATCCCCATACTGCCCGTGGTCATCCAGGCGATTAACATCAGGGCACCTGAACCAGATCAGTAGCATTAGGACCACAGAAACACTGATGTGAGGCTCTAATCTGGATCCAATGGCAGCGTTTCATGATGTACTCACCGTGGGCTTTAACGATTGCTGGGAATTCTTCACTGTTTGCGGTGACCATGGATGGATTCAGCAAATCAGCCTTGGTGCTACTGACATATTTGGTTGTGTGGAACAGGATGTTATCTAGAAATTAAGGTAATTCTTCAGTGAAAGGACATAAGATACTTTCATCATTCTCTCCATTATTCTGTTTCAAACCACTGGCTTTTTTTCTCCCAGAAAACACAAAAGAAGATGTTTATGCCACCCTTGTGCATACAATGAAAGCACACGCTGACTAGAGACAGTCAAGCTCAAAAAGTACAATACGATTAGCATAAAAGTGTCTTGTGCACCAGTCTTCTGTGAGGAATGTTTGTTATTCACTGAAAATCTTACCTTGCGTAAATTGCAAATTTTGCTAAATATCTTGATTTGTGTTTCATGGAAGAACAAAAGTCCTTCAAGTTTGAAACAGCATGAGGGCGAGTTTAGGATGACAATCTTCATATTTCTGTGACTATCGCTTTTGGTATTTTAAAGCAGAATGAAAGCATTACATCAGTGTTGTTATTGTTTTAAAATAACCTTTAAAAAATAATTTTCCTTTCTTTAAAGCTGAACTAAAATAAAATATAAATATTAGAAGAAAAATTAAATTAGAAATGTTACATTGGCAACCCAAATCAGAGCTAAAATTACTCAACTGAAACTAAAATAAATAAAATAAAAGGATTGAGGTCCAATTCTCACTATTAACTAACTATTACCAATGACTTTTGCAGCTTATTAATAGTAGTTGTAACGTTTAGGTATTGGGATGTAGAAAAAGTGTACTTTTCATTAATATGTGCTTTATAATTACTAATAAACAGCCAATATCCAAGTAATATGCATGCTAATAAGCAAATAATAGTAAAAATTGGCCAAAGTAACATTTAAAAAAAACTAATAAAATTACGAAAGCACATAACATTATTAAAAATTAAATCTAAATTTGAAAATGAAAGAAAATATAAAATAAAAGTGAAAAGATGAATAAATACTATAATTGTATAGAATTATACTAAAATAACATTGAATTAACTTTGGCAGTTTTTGTTCAAATCTTTGATTTTACACAACATATAGATTTTAAATCAGGCTCGATAAACTCCTGACCTTTATTTGAGGGTCCGGAAACAATCATGAGGTAGTACTGGCTAGTGGACGTTGCTCTACTTCCTGTGCTGATGGCATTACGAGAAGTAAAAGAACAATTGATATTTCCATTCGTCAATGCTGTCTTGATATTAGTCACATTCCCCTGTAAATCATGCAGAATATATATGTGAGTGATGATATTTTATGAAACAACAGTTAGAAATGGTGGCACACTAGAGTAATGCAAGCGAACCATACCAGTGAGAGAATATTTGGAGTCACTGTTCCTGTGGAATAAGCGTGTTGCACTTGAAGGAAGCCGCTGCTGTTTTTACCACAGGTGTAGATGTCATCATTGCCCTGGAAATAAAAACAAAACACTCCTTTAAACCCATATGAACGTAATGTTGTCTTATTGTTCCTGGAAAAATAAAATCTCATATGGGTTTTGCTGATGTTTGTTGAGAATTGCACAATAATGAGTCAGTGCTGACAGAGGTAGTCCTCCAGAAAAGATTCAGCGGATGGATCTCATGTTTCAGGTAAAATATAAAATGTCTGACATAGTGACATGTTTACAGGTAACACCCATCACTCCCAAATTTTTACACATATTACACATTTAAATTAAGTAGAAAAGGTCTGCAGATTACTTTTGGGCCTGCTGATATCTCATGAGCAAGTATAAGAGTATGTACCATGTTCTGGTCATCTGAAAACCCAATGGCGACATATCCATCGGCCTGGCCAAACATTTCAATGGTCCTTTCAGATTGGTCGGATGATGTCTGAACTGCCATGAAGTGACAGTCTGTGCTGGTAGTTGGGTCACAGTTGCTAGGCTGACTGAAGCAGACTTTGGTTTTCCCACAATCAGGGTTTGATGGGACCTGAAATGAACAGAGCAATTTGTGCTGAATATAAAACAACATACGAGAACAGATTGGCATATATCTAGATTTCATGTTTTTGTAGGTGTACGTGTTAAACTTACAGTCGGAGCTACAGTAGCAGTGGTTCCTGTACCATTATACACAACAGCAGAGCTCTTGACACCAACCCAAAAGGTTTCTTTTCTTTTAACAAATGTTGCTCTGAAAAAAAAAAAAACAATTCAAAATCACACTAAGTACTACCAAACAAATAAATTATATATCAATACATTTAATGAAACATTAAAATGTGTACCTGAACTCTATATTGCCAAGTCCAGATATAGGGGCCGTCCATTTAGCTTGCACTGAAGTCTTTCCAGATTTAGTTGTGTGAGAAACTGCTCTATTCTGAATAATATAATATAACAAATGTCAATGTTGTTATTTAAAAAAAAAATACATCTATCTCATTCCTTACTACACTCAAAAAAAAAAAAGTTGGCTTAAATTATTTTTTTTTATTTTTGTTTTTTGTCATCAGGTACACTATCGAGTCTTCCCATTTTCTAAATTTCTCAAAAAAAACATTGAATAACAATTAATTTTAACATTTCTTCTCTCTAAATTCAACCATGTGCAAAGCATGCTGGGAACTCACAAGCACCACCCAGTTTCAATTAATGCAACACAAATCAATCATGTAATCCAACACAAATAAATTAAGTAAACTTAAATTGTGCATATATTTAAGCAGATTGAACACAATCAAATTAAGTTCGGGCAAAATGGCAATTGGCTCACACTATACTGCCACCCTCCAGATGTAAGAATTTTTAACTTAACATAAATGCTTACTTTTTGTACTGTTAAAACATAATTACATAAAACATTTCAAGTCAAACAACACAATTATTATTTTTGAGTGTAGTTTATCATTATTAGTAATGGAAGAAAGTAATGTAATACAAATTTAATGTAGAAAAACTCACAGCCACGTTATTGCAGGTGAGGCCCCGTGCTGTGCTGTCCGTCACAGTAAAAGTGCCAATGGGATTAATCAATCCAACTAGATTTGCTTGTAACATAAACCCTTCAAAATTTTCTGATGGTGCATTTAAAGATACTGAAAAGGAAGAAACAGTTCAGTGGAATTTCCTTAGATACAGACAAACACTGTACTAACATAGATAAACTGATTTATGACTATGATATGATAATGTTTTTTTTTTTTTTTTTTTTTTAATATTAGTGATTTAACATAGTCCATGTAAAAACATGATAGGCAGTCATTAATTGAATAGTATAGTATTGTGTAGTATAGTATTATTGTATATGCATTGTGAATGCATAGGCAATTTAACATATATTGCATATTTAGGCTATATTAGTTAATATAGTAGCCTAAAATATATGTATCTATAATATACAGTATAACACTTAATAGTAGTACATTTTTAAAAGTTTGGTTAAAGGGATAGTTGACACAAAAAGGAAAATTCTATCATTCCAAACCTAAAAGTCTTTTGTTCATCTTCAGAACACAAATGAAGATCTTGATGAAATCTGAGAGCTTTCTGTCCCTCCATTGACAGCTACGCAACTACCACTTTGACCCTTAAAAAGGTTCTAATCCAAAAAACGAATCCATATTAACGGAGCGGTTTAGTCCAAATTTTCTCACACATCAAGCGAACATTCTTCAGCTGAGCTTCCGTTTACCATAACTGATGTGTGCATTAATGAATGTTTATGTGTGAAAAAAGCTTAAATTAAAGTTTATCATATAAAATGGCCATGTTAGTTTAGAAAATGTATTGGATAAATGGATTAGTTTAGCAATCTCTTTATGAACTTTTAAGCGTCAAAGTGGCAGTGTAGCTGTCAATGGAGGGACATGAATCTCGCAGATTTCATTAAAAGATAGCTATTCATTTATGTTACAAAGATGAATTAAAGACTTGGTAAGTAAATGAGGTGAAAAAAAAATATTATTTTAGTTTTAAAACTGCATTTAGTTTTTGTTTCTAGTTTGAGTTGAGAAATACACATTTCAGCATTATCACTAATCTGTGTGTGCATTTTACTTGAGGACCAAGCAAGTTGACTCATTAAAACATTTGTTTATTACATCGCATATCGCAATATTGACCTCAATAATCGCAATCACCCCGTTTACACCTGGTATTAAAATGCGATCTGTATCCAGATAAGTTATCCGGATAATAAGTACTGATTCCATTTACACCTGGCCACATAAATGTGTTTTTGCAAAACGGATATAAATCCGATCTTCACCTCCTGCGTTATATGCAGATTTATTGGATTGCACGCCAACAAAAGCAACAGATCTGAGCGGCATTTTATTGATCATCAGCTAATTTCCAAATCAGAGACATCAATAAGAGAGAGTGGCAACAGGCCTGGTAAGATAATTTCGTTTCTTTACTTGAAGATACGTTAACTGCGTCTGTGACTTACTTTCACTTTTATTTGCGATGTTTGCACGTTGAATAGACGCTCAGCTGCTCATCTGCGGTGATGCGTGTCGCGTGTCGCATCTGACTAGGCTATAACATGACATAGCCTATATAACACGCTCTCACTCGTTTATTTTTTAGCATTTTTGGGAGGAGTGACATATACATATGTAGTTTCAACAACCAGATTGCGTTTACACCTAGTAAAGATCCGGACACAATGCGAGCCAGACTACCTCCAGATGTGGTCAGGCAGATCCGATCACGATCCGATCACAACGCGTTTACACCTTGCATTAACATGCGTTTTTTATTATCCGGATAACTTATCTGGATACAGATCGCATTTTAATACCAGGTGTAAACGGGGTCAATATGACATTTTCCAGTGATGTAGTGGTGCCTGGAGAAGTGGGTATACTCTTAATTTATGTCCCCAATATTTTTTTAAGCGTTCCAGCAAAGGATGAACGCTCTGTGTTACCAACTAGTCTTGCATTAGTACTATTCAATATGCAAGACTATAGAATAGAGTATAATGAATACAATAGAACACATACAATCAGTATTCTTGCGTATCAGGGCCGCACATATGGTTTTCTAAATACCCAGGTGCCAGGTCCCATAAATCATATTGTTAGGGGGGTTCGGGGGCATGCCCCCCCGAGAAAATTTTGATTTTCCTGATCTCGAAATGAGCATTTTAAGGTGTTTTGATGGCCAAAAAATATTTGACAACAGTAGCTTTAAAAGCATGAAGTAGCCTATTTGAACAGATTCTTAAACATGAGAACCAGTTCCAGTTTCAGCTACTTTTCTTTCCTAAATTGATCTATGTTTTTTGGACTAATCTGTTAATTTAATTAATGGCTCACTCAAAAAGACAGTCTTGTCGCCACCCTCTGGCTTAATGATGCAAGTGGCGCAAACAAAGACAAGCGTAGTTATACAGTGAAAAGTCGAACACATTCGAAAAAACGTTATACAAATATATTTATAATGGCAATATATTTAATAGGGTGCTTGTGTTGTTAAATTGACCTTATAATTTCCACTGTCTTTAATCAAAGTGATTATTTCTGTCGGTCATTTAAAACGTCTATTGAAAAACAGCCGTAAATTTGAGCTACTTGCATCTAATCTTACACTGTATGATCGTTAACTGAAGTGAAGCGTCGCGTTGGGATTCGCGCTCGGCTCGCGCTTCTGTGAACAAAAATCCTGCATTCTTTGATTGGTGTCACGAACATTTTAACATTGACGAGCAGGTGTTTGAGTAACATTACTGAAGCAGATCAGATGAGAAGGTCAGTTATCGTCGCGATGGGAGGATCATTGCAGCAACAAATTAGAGTTACGGGTAGGACCCTACTGGGTGTTCTTTTTTTTATTCACGAAATTTGATTAGCAACTAAATGATGCGCATCAGAGGGGATTTAGAAGTGGGTATACGCAATGCCGACTGAAAAGGAAGTGGGTATACGCCGTATACCTGCGTATACCCTGCACTACACCACTGACATTTTCCCCAAATCGTGCAGCATAATAGGTCACATGGTCAGAAGTTTGCAATGCCAATTAAGTTCCTTCATTTCATACTACAACATATTTACGGTATAAGCCATAAAATAAACTGTTCATTAACATATAATCCTCCCAAAACTGTACAAGCTTGTAAATGTAAATAACAGTCTCACTCACCTGTGATTTCATCTCCCTCTTTAAAGGTGGTCTTGTCAACAGTAACGGTGAACGGAGGAACGCTGGTCTGAGCGTTAGACCCGTGAACAGGCATCAAAGATCCACACGATTCGCTGACCAGTCCATTAGGATAACACTGCACGATCCCAAAACACGCCAGGAGAATATACAGGAACATCTGAGGAGATTTAAAAACTCACTATAAGTATCTAATAAAGTCCTCGTCGAGAGTAATAAACACCGATGTGGAAGAGAAGAGAGAAATAAAACGAATGAATAAAAACAACAACCTTTGGAAAATTTGGTGGGCGAGGGTATTCTTGTCTTTGTTTTGGCTGAAACCGTGTGTGTGTGTGCTAGCGGTCAAAACTCTAGCCACTTCTTCTCTGCAAATAGTGTAAAGTCATTGTGGGCAGGGCTTTACCTGGATAGGTACACGCTGAGGTAATGCAACAGTGGGTGATCATGAGATCCTGAGTTTCTCGTGAACTCACTTAAATCATACCTAAATAAATCTACAATTCATGTTGTTTACTGCCTCAATACTAGTTGTGGGTTTCAACGGGGGCATTTTTGTCCTTATAAGGTCCGAGTGTACGTGATAAATAAATTCATTTTTCGATGGGGTGAATAAAAAAAAATCAATAAAAACAAACACTTGTGCCAATGCAGTTGGCATTAACACGGGCAAAATGATCAGAAAAACAAAACTGAAAAAGAGAAAAATGTCCAATGTCAATGACACAAGGGTTTAGATTGTGATTAGCCACTCTCAACAAAAAGGAAATAAGTAACTATATTGTTTTCTTAGGTTCTAAGTGTCTAGCCTCCAACTGTTTGAAGAATAAGTGGTAAACAACAAAAAAAAAATGTCTATAAAAAGTATTTTTTTTTAATTTGCTGTCAACTGATGGTTTGTTTGATGAGGCTTCACAATAAAAAAATGCATATAGGAAGATGCTTTTTTTCTTCAGAGCAAAAAGAACAACGAAAAATGCATTCATTAAATTAAATTATTTAAATAACACAATTTATGTTTTTTATCGGCTGTTATGTATTTATGTTACAAATTATATCAATTTATGTTATTTCCCAGTTGAGATTCACTGTACCATAGTATGGATCTTGTGTTGTAATGATGCAACATAATGCAGCATTTTTGACAGAAATAATAAAACTGATAAAAGAGGGAAACCGTTTGAGAAATTGTACCAATTTATGTACTCGATGCCCAATTTCACCACAAATCAAGTTCATATTTCTTGTGATATTCTTGACATATTCATACATTTCAAACTCCTAAAAGTTGAATCATTATTTATTCTTCGGTATTGTTCTATAAAGTGATCAATCCTCTTTACTGTACGTCCTTTCCATTAAACATAGCACAAGTTTAACAGCAATAATATAACGGATGCTATTGTAATTGACAAAAATCGCCAGTGAAATTGCATTACTGTAATTCCAATGTAGTGTAAATATTTTATAGAGTGTTTTTAAAACTACTGTAGACAAAATTGATCTTTCAATGTCTAAGACATAAAAGGAAATCAGATGCAGAAGAAATGTACAGAAATCAGCATGTATTTTCCATGTAAGGGCGACCCAGAAAACAGAAATGACTTCGCAATTCTAACCATAAAATGTGTTTTGTTTAGGGAATGGAAGAAAGATCAAGGTTACAAAGCCAACATGGCACCATAGAGTGTTAACATTACACTTGACTTGGATTGTTAGTTCAAAGCTGAGATTACAAATAACTCAAGACTGTGGTGCATCTGATCTGTAATGCATGAGTGAGATTAAAATGTGTTAGTCATCTTATGATGAAGTAGTTTGTTGTGTACGTGAAAACAGAACAAGTTTTTGTTGCCCTTAGAAAAGACCGCCCATATTGCTGATCTAAATTAAGATCTGTTTTTATAGGTCTAAGATTTTGTTTATATGAATTAAATGAAGAAAAGGACCAGTTCTATTTCGAGGTAAGGAATCTATTCTTTTTCTTGAGGGATCATCAGATGTGTTTTAATAACCACAAAAGGGAAATCTGTCTCTTAACCAACAAACCCAATCTGAATATGCTGCTAGTCACTAATAAGAATGTGAACATGAAAAAATGCTCTCTTAAAATGAGTTGGCACAATCAACATATATTTCCATTTCTTCCAAGCACTAAAGTAGCAGCACACATTTGTGTCTAGACAAGGTTGTGAATGTAAAATAATGTCCTTTGAACTTCTCAGTTAGGTGTAAAGTAGTACATGAGATCTTCAAGGTCCTTGACATAATCATAGATCATAGAGGGCCTCCAGAACAGTGGCGATAGACCAGGCCTGTGTTTCACAACTGAATGGGCAGTACTGTCCATTTTCATTGGTCAGCTCAGGTAAACCCTTCCAAGGTGATCTAGAACAATAGACAACATATAGACATGACTATGAGCTGATGTATACTGTGCAAATGACTCAAATACTTAAAGGAGTAGTTCATTTAAAAAAAAAAAACGTTTGCTGATAATTTACTCACCCCCATGTCATCCAAGATATCCATGTCTTTCTTTCTTCAGTCGAAAAGAAATTAAGGTTTTTGGTGAAAACATTCCAGGACTTCTCTCCATATAATGGACTTCAATGGGAACCAAACGGTTCAAGGTCCAAAAGACAGTTTCAGTGCAAACCGCAAACTGTTCAAAGGGCTTCACAGAACAGAGCAATGCGACCATTTGAGCTTATAAAACTTAAACTTTGTTCTTTTTTTTTTTTTAAATGAGCGATTGTTTCGCTTGATAAGACCCTTATTCATTGTCTGGAATCGTTTAAAGCCCTTTGAACAGTTTGCAATGAAACTGTCTTTTGGACCTTGAACCATTTGGTTCCCATTGAAGTCCATTATATGGAGAAAAATCCTGGAATGTTTTCATCAAAAACCTTAAAGGGTTAGTTCACCCAAAAATGAAAATTAAGTCATTAATTACTCACCCCCATGCTGTACCAACCCCACAAGACCTTCGTTAGTCTTCGGAAAACAAATGAAGATATTTTTGATTAAATTTGAGAGCTGTCTCACTACCACATTGGCTGCCTAAGGGACTGCCTCTTGACGGCCCAGAAAGTCAATGAAGAAAATGTTAAAATATCCCAAGCGACTACCGTGGCTCAACTATATGTTTATCAAGCGACGAGAATACTTTTTGTGCGAAAAAACAAACAAAAATAACGAGTTTATTCGACTATTCCTTTTCTTCCTTGTTGGCCTGAAATGAGACTTCCTTAGATTTCCACGACGCATGCGCGATAATTGCTATCTCTTTCAACTACCTCAGTTCAATTCTCGCGCATGCGTCGTGGAAATCTAAGGAAGTCTCGTTTCAGGCCAACAAGGAAGAAAAGAAATAGTCGAATAAACTCGTTATTTTTGTTTGTTTTTTCGCACAAAAAGTATTCTCGTCGCTTGATAAACATATAGTTGAGCCACGGTAGTCACTTGGGATATTTTAACATTTTCTTCATTGACTTTCTGGGCCGTCAAGAGCCAGTCCCTTAGGAGCCTATGTGGTGGTTATACAGCTCTCAAATTTAATCAAAAATATCTTAATTTGTGTTCCGAAGACGAACGAAGGTCTTACGGGGTTGGTACAGCATGGGGGTGAGTAATTAATGACTTAATTTTCATTTTTGGGTGAACTAACCCTTTAATTTCTTTTCGACTGGAGAAAGAAAGACATGGACATCTTGGATGACATGTGGTTGAGTAAATTATCAGCAAAAGTTTTTTTTAAAGTGAACTACTCCTATAATTATTAAACTCAATCTCCTGTAGATTCCAACAATTCCACAAGAAATACAACTATTTTGTTAGTGTGTGAGATCTGGAATACCTTTCTAAATGGGAATAAAGTCTAGAGAGAACATTCTTCACCAGGTACACACTTTCGTTGTACTTCTCTTGGCCCATTTTCTTAGCGAAATAAAGTTTGGCTCGTAAGAAGTATCCAACTGGCCAAAGCCATTCCTGAAAAACGAATGATTAAATAAAAAAAGCAATATATAATAAGGATTGAACATCTGAGATGATTCAAAAATATACTTACAGGTCCTTGGTGATAATTGAATCCTCTTGCACAGTTGTAGTCGTCATTATCCAGGGCGTTGTCATAAACGCCACAATACACCAGATCACTGTTAGACAATTACAGACACGCAAACATCAAAGATATCTACATGCGAATGACTTCACTGATGCACATACTTTAGTTCTGGACACAAAACGGTTACTTCTAATAACTAAAACTTGCAAAAAAGCAAATGCATGACTTATAAATAATTATAAAATTTCTATAAATGTAACTATAACTGTTCTTATAATGCACTATAGGTCTTAATGAGTCTTCATAAATATATTTTTAAAATAGTAATACTTACAAATAAGTATAAATGGAGCTATAATTCATTATAAGCATGGTCTTCAAAGAAAGCGTTCCCAAAAACACTTATAAAACCATGTCCAGTCAGCACGCCAGAAGAGCACTCTTAACATAAGTAGCTGCTCGGGCAATAGGCAGACAGCAGGTGTTGTTTTCTACTTACTCTGGGTCCAGTGTTTTCATTCCCAGAGGGCCGAGCAGCTTCTTTTCTACCATCTCTAAAGCCTTCCAGGCTCTTTGCACAGTAAACAACTCTGGCGCCTGGTGAAACAAACTGGTGTATAAGAGAACAGCCTCCAAAACACTTGAAAAGATTTTTACAAGCACTAAGACTCACCACAACCATGGCGATGGTGAAATTAGGCCTGAGCTGGTAGTCACACCAGGGGCTAGAGGACCCATAACTGTCTTTGTAAATGCATTTCTTGTGGACCAGTTCGGGATGTTGCTCATTTGGGTCCGCAGGGTCATCTGACACGTAGAATAACCTTTCAAAACTCTCTTGGATCAGTTGATTCCACTCCTTATATGAAATTGACTGTTCTGCTCCTGGATGAACCACATTGTAATGGTCATGATCGATCGTTAAAATATATGAAAAGTGATTTTTATGCGGTCAATAGGCTGTAAATATATGTTAGTCCAAAACATTGAATTGTGATATAATTGAAGGTATGGCTTTTCAACAGTGCAGGATAGTAAAGTGTCACTTTATTTAAAATAAAAATAAATAAATAATAATAATAATAATAATAATAATATATATACTGTATATATATATATATATATATACAATTTATTATATGATATATAATTTAAATATATATATATATATATATATCTTACTGGCAACTTATTGTGCAATAAATTAAAATTATTACCAGTTATTACTGGCACTTTATTTAGTAAAAAAACAATAAACACTGACATTTTCATTGAGAATGAGAATGTGTAATAAAGAACGTACCATCTCTGTGTATTGTGACAGAGGAGTATGGATAATTTC